TGAAAACGAAACCATTCATACGGTCAATATAAAACATTTTGTTAGTAATAAAAAACAAATGTAATCTCAATGTGAGCCAGCCGGCGGGACTGCGGCTGAACCACTTCCAATGTTCATTCATTCATTCATTCATTCATTCATTCATTCATTCAATCGCGTGTTCAATGTGTGTGTGTGTGTGTGTGTGTGTGTGTGTGTGTCAGAGAGAAGTATCAATAAAAAAAAGTAATTATTTCGGTGTTTATTTCTTTTATTCTTCTTTTTTTTTAATTAAAATGCGTAATATAGCCAACAATATTATAGACCAAATGTTAATCTAATTATTATTGTAGAATGTATTTAGCAAATCACCACTCTCAACTGGAGACAGCAGCAAAAAAAAAAAAAAGGCATTATAAAAAGCCGACAAATCGTGTTAATTAATTGACGTGAGACATTGAAGAGGTTGTCTCCTATAGTCTGTAATTTTTTATTTTTTTTATCATAACTTCTCGGAAATTACTCAAAAGTAGAACATGCTAAAAGTAAATACAATAATAGGCTAAATAGTATCTAAGCAATAATAAAGTGTCTAAACAATAATAAATATTATCTAAGTTATCTATTAGGCTACCATTCCACTCTGTAAATAGATTTTAACATTTCAATATGATTTTAATATTATTTTTGCTTATTTCATTATTGTTATTATTGGTTTTACTTTTTAGTAGTATTGTATTGTCTGAGGATGACTCATTTTAGTAACTATCTACAGTAAAAAAGAAAAAAACAAGCAAAGAAACAAACAAAACTCATTTTATACACGGGGCCTTCAAAGTGCTCTCTGAAACTACACCTGGCATGGCTTGTGTCCAAAAAATGAAAAAATCTAAACTTTGTCGTAGAGCTAAACCAAATACATCATTGGAAAGGTCTCAACCTGGAGAGTAACATATGTCAGTATGAAGATTCTACATGGCTCCTGCTTTCAGCCATTGACCTTTGAACCTTGACCTCAGTGCATGTTTGAGGGCTTATAACTCAGCAACGAAAGGGGGTACAGACATGGGACCAACTGTTATAGAGAGCTCTTGACCTCAGCTATCATGTGAGTGTAGTCAACAACTGTGGGTGCTGTCAGATATGGATAAAATATGGATAAAATTAATTTTCACCCATTTAGAAATTAGATATTTAAAATCTGATTTCACAAATGTGTTTACCATCCCCTTAAAGTCCACAGTGTACTCTCAATTCAATATTTACAACTTCCAAATCTGGGAAAAACACTTAGATTTTTAAAAAACTACAATTCCCTGGGACCGCGCCATGCAGTTTGATACATATCAGCAACATAGTTGTAGTTCTTCTGATTTGCAAAGTAGGGCTCTAAATAGGGTTGTAAAAAGATATATCTACTGAATATATCTAATATCAAGTAAAGCCGAACTAGTTATTACACTCCACCTAGATGAACTATGGTAAGAAAAAGTAAAGATGTCGGCTAATTTTCGATATTTTAGCTAATACACTAGAAACGGCGTTTTTGGGACAGTAGGTTCGTTTGCGGCATGTAAAATAGGGTTGTAAAAAGCTAGATCTACTGAATAAATCTAATATCTAGTAAAGCCGAAGTAGTTATTACACTGCACCTAGATGGACTATGTTAAGAAAAAAAGCAAGGATATTGGCTAATCGTAGTTATTTTAGATAGTACTCTAAAAACGGCGTTTTTGGGACGGTAGGTTTTTTGCGGCTTGTTGTAAAACAGGGTCGTAAAAAGATACATCTACTGAGTATATCAAATGTCTAGTAAAGCTGAACTAGTAATGATACTGCACCTAGATGAAATATGTTAAGAAAAAGTAGGCATGATGGTTCATTTCAGATATTTTAGCAAGTTCTCTAGAAACGGCGTTTTTGGGATTGAATATTTGAATAGGCTATAACAAATATCTAGAACAGCCGAACTATCACGTTATTATCATTATTATTATTATTGGTGGGAAATTATAACAGAGGATTAGGCTATATTTGCCGTTTTAATATCAAGAACACTTCCGCGTTTTTGTGTGTATACAGGAATGTTAAAGATATCATTGAGGAAAACGAGGTTGACGTGACGTGATTGAATCAGGGAATCTGTGTGTCCACCATGGGAGAGGACCCTAATTGACTTTACATTGGCATTGTTTTCGTGGTGGCAGCACGTAATTTCAACCCATTACATGCTGCCACCACGGAATGCGGTGTTAAGAGGTCGTGGTCATTTCACGTATTTCTGTGAGATCAGGTTGGTTGGAAACGAGGTGCTTTATTAGTAAAAAAAAAAAAAAAAAAAAGCTGGGAATGCCCAGGTCTAACAACATCCATGGGGGGGGACCAAATCTACACCAAATGCACAGTTGAAATTCTGAAGTAAAATATGTACAAATTCACTAACCCATGAGTTTCTTTTTTTTTGAATGTCTAACACACCAAAGTGAACATGGAAGAAATATTATCAGATAACAAGTGGAGTCTCTTGCTCAGATAGCCTACAAACCATTTCTGATCTGAATGACAATAATTCTTATATCAAGAAACACTGACTCATTTTTTGTACTAACGCTACTGTACCATATAACTAACATTACTTCTATAATCCGACTGATAGGGTAACGCTACTCGCTTTCTCACTGCTCTTAACTTACTTTGCTTCTTTTCTGAAACTGGCCAAAAAAAAGCCGAATGTCTCTGCCACCCTTCCTCTTGCTCATGACGACTCACTAAGAAATTACACATGCAGCGCTAACGTTATGAGAGACACTTCAGACTTCACGCAGGCTTGTTGTTAGCTAGCTAGCCAGCTAGCTATTATAACATGGTTACATTCGGTGCAACATTGCAAAACAATAACCATTCACAATATCAAAATTTCATAACACTTTACAAAATCACAATAAACAGTTACAATATAGCCTACGTAACGCTCATATTACATTCTCGTTTTCCACTTCTATTCAGTAATGAATAGAGAGAAATTTACATTGCCTGCCTGGAACATTACCCATACAGCAGTCTGGCAACAACGTTGATGGCAACCAGCCTTGGCATTCTGCTACGGCAACTCCACTTGGACAAACCACACGCAGAACTGCCATACTTGAACCAATAGTAATAATAATGGGGATTTGTTATGTTATGATGATTACATTATTTCGGATGGTGGTATGTGGTTTCCTATCGTAGAATAGCAATGAAAAAAAAATGGTTTTTTTTTTGTTGTTTCAGTTATATATTCAGGGTGACATTTCAGGCATATCTGAACATTGGGGGGATGTGTTCCCCTCAATGTATATGGTGACTACTGCCCTGAATGTGAGTATGAATGGAATGAATGTGACTCTGTAGTGTAAAAGCACTTTGAGTGGTTGCAAGACGACAAAGGTGCTATACAAGTGCAGTCCATTTATTCATTATTCATAAAATCCCATTGATTTGCAGTCTAATAATAGCCTCCTAATAATGCTTGCAATTTCTCAATGAGCTCTTTTTGAAACTAAAGAACATAAATAGTAACATTTTAGAATCATTAAAGTGCTGCTGCAGAAACTTATGTCAGTCACCAGGATTTGATTTCCCCACGTTGGTCCTGATGATACAGGATGACAAATGCCAAAACTGTCCGATCAACGAGTTACCTGTCTGTCGGTAGAACTTCATGTTTACTCTTGTTGGTTTGTTTGCAAAAAGTCAGTGTGAACAGGAACTGAACCAAAACTTAAATGCAATGGTGTATTATTTTTTCACTCTGGTGCGATCAAATGAACCCAACTACAGGTGTGAAAGCATACTAAATGTACTCTAACTCACCAATCTGCAGATCTAGGCTTCTTTAAGATAACATACTGTATATACGTTAGTCTTTTCTATTGAAAACATTAACTCCCCCCAGACTTTTGGCCTCTCTCTCTCTCTCTCTCTCTCTCTCTCTCTCTCTCTCTCCCCAATAGCAAACTTCCATTGCAATAGCCAGGTTTCAACCTATGGAGTGCAGTTACTATGCATATTTATAACTCAATGTCTAGAATTCACATACTTTGCACTTAAATGTCAAGATTTGGACCTGAATCAATCAACAACACCACTTACAGTAATACCCATACCCATACACTGCTGGCAAAGCACCTCTTCTACAAAGCATCACTGTCTGAAGATGCTCATATGCTGATGGCAGAATGAAACTGCTGCTACTGTAGTAGCAGGCATTACTTCCGAATTTCTGAAATGTCTGTTTTCCTCAGAGAAAGAAATACTTTTTTTTGTAGTACAGGAAGTTAGTAAAACAATATAATAAATAAATACATGTTGGCCAGTAATGGAGCAGCTGGATGTATTAGAATAATCTCATCTTTTGGTTCTGCATAGTATCCCTCCAGAGAGCAGCTGCAAATTACCTCCTACCTGACTCGAATGTTTGCTACTTCTCTGCCTGTAAAATTTACTTTAGGATACGACAACATTTCAGTCTTCCTCCCTTTATCATCTGGCTTATTCATAAATCCCATTCCAGGTTTCAACCTGTTCAGAATATACTGTAGATAGCTGTATAAGGTGGGCTGAGTATGTGGAACATTAAAAAAAATGAAGTGAAGTGTATTTCCAGTCAAATGTGTCTTAAGGAATAAAACAGTTTATAGTGCTACTGGCTCTTATTTGCAGAAAGTCTCCTTAGTTGAAAATTACTGTAATAGAAATGGAAAAGTATATACTTGCAAGTCTGATGGGTCACCACATGAACCCGACAACGGCACTCTGGGAATTTCACCCAGAGAATATACACTCAGTATATGCACACAAGTTCCGAGGTGAACAAAGAGGAGCAGAGACATGTATTTTAAGCCCAATGAGAAATTGTTTATTTAAAATTCAGAAGCAATTAATTTAGTATTTATTTCCTATTAAAAAAGGAAGACTTTTACTTAAAAAATATATATTTTTCTTTATCACAAAATAAATCTTAAAATTCTAAAAAAAAATGTTTTGGGGGGTTTGTTACCAATACAGGGGGAAGGGTGCCAGAGAAACCCACAGATTGAGGGGAGTGAGGGGAGAGGGTTAGGGTGTTTCACCACCACCACCAGCATGTCATGCAACTGCTCACACTGCAAGAGAAAGGCACACGGGGTTAGCAGTGCACAGCCAAATAGCATGCAGTAAACACACGGAAACTCACACTCACGGTTAGTAAAACTGGCACACAGGTGAAAGGTGAAAAGGTGAAAGCCCCACCCGGTAACCCACCACCCGTAGGGCCCAGCAACCCAACCAGCCCAGCCAGAACGCCAACAACATAAACTCTGCCCACGGCAATTGGTTTAGCAACGGAGAGGCCACTACTTACAACCACAACCCATACATAAACTAACAGTAATTAGAAATTAAACCAAAGGAAGTTTTCTTAACTCAAACAATAAACAAACCACATGAAAATAGCAGAAAATACCCACTGGTATTCAAAGACAAATTCTACACCAAAAAGAAAATAAATAATAACTACAACAAAAACAGCACTGACAACAGAGCTCCTCCTAGTAAAATCAAAAACATGATATTAGCTTGAAATCTTTGCAAAAATGGGCAAGACAGATGTGTAGACAGCCATATTGCTTTACCTCAAACAAATACAGCAAGGCCAAACCACCCGAACGGCATCACCATGCTGCTTCACTCCTATTTTAAGAAGCGCACATTAGAGGGTGACACAGGAGTGGAGTTTCAGTCCTGTCCCATCCCACTCCCACAAAAATAATCCCATCCCGTCCCAATGCCATGAAAAAGAAAAAACAAAAATCCTGTCCCGTCCCAATCCCACAAGAATGATTCCTGTCCCATCCCGCTCCCGTGTTGTGTTTCAGTTACAGTAAAAAAAATAAATAAAAAAAATACAGTACATGGATCACACAGTGCCTACCTTAGTTGAATATAAACCCAAATATGACATCTAATGTTGTGCTTTGAAGTTTATTGCCTAATTATTTTTACATTCACTCCACCTTGAAGCTGTTCAGAATGACAAACACATTTGATTTCTGATGTGGTCAGACAACACGTCATAAGAACCAGTTCTGAGAGAGAAAAATGTACTTAAAGTATTGCAGTAAAAGTAGTGTTTGGTTCTTCTGACTGATATTATTATACATGACATCATTAGATTATTAATACTGAAGCATCAGTGTTAGAGCAGCATGTTACTGTTGTAGCTGCTGGAGGTGGAGCTAGTTTCAACTACTTTATAAAAACTTGACTATGATTCTCAGTCCTGCCCGTTCCCGTTGACTTTTTTTCCTATCCCGTCCCAGTCACGTGATGAATAGTGAAACTAATTTAATCACGTGACCCGTGGGACTCCTGAAGAAAATGTCAGCCTCTAGCGCACATCAGTATTTATCAGATACTTGTGAATCACCATCATGATATAAAAGGCATACCTTTAAGCCGCAAGTTACGAGTGCTCATCTGGGCACATAAACATGCCACACACGCCAGCTTGCAAGTGTGCTAACTGCATTGGAGAGGGCTAAGGCTACCGCCCGGCAACTTGGATATGTGGGTAAACAGCACCTGCATGAGGGGTGAGTGAAATTATATTTATTCAACATGTATTAGTAATTCTACACAGAATACAAGAGGGGGAAACAGCGTACCTTAGTCTGATGTGCACATAGCATTAACAAGGTCAGGAACAGCGAGGAAACGCCCCATCTGGCTGACTACAGTGCCTTTTAAGGGGAGACTAGATAACAAACAGCTGATGTTTACTTCCGGTCTGATTACGGGGTGGGACAAACTGGAGGAAGCTCCACTCATTACATATATATAACACAATGACACATTTGTAAATGAATAATGAATAAATATTTACTTAGGAAGCAATTCTTTCAAGAAAGATACTGTTTCCCATATAATTAGTGCCAAATTACATGGTTATTTCTAGCAAATTTCTATGGAAAACAGACCTGTACAATCAGGTCCTCTCTTGAATTCTTATTAGTTTCATAACTAATGAAAGAAAGAAGGATTACCAAATGGATGAAGTGGACCCCAGAGGGTCCTCCATGAGCATCATTGTCTTCTGTTTGTGGTAATTTGATCCATTTCATTTTAAAGTACTCAGTAACTTTTAAATTGTGTTTTTAGGTACTTAAACAATGATCAGGCTGAACAGGAAAGACATAAATAAACGATAGCATGAAAAAGTGAAATGAGTGAGGACAAGAGTAAATAGAGAGGACGGGAATGAGAGATGGAATAAGCATAAAAAGGATATGGTAGTAAAATAAAAAAAAAATAAGAGTCAGATCCCTGGGAAGGGAATTTAGGTGTGAGCGTATGACTTGTCAAACTCCACTATATAACTAACAATTCCACTTGTATTTCAACTGCTGACAGCTGAAACAAACATAGATTCACATCACGCTGTTCCCAAAACACGGTCAGCCAGCCAATTAAATACTCCATATCTGTTCAAATCTCTCCACCATGGAAGTGCCCTGCAACACTATTGTCAAATGATTGAGCTAATGGGTTTTTGTTCCCACGCAGACAGTATCAAACCTTTCTACAGCTATTAAGATCATTATCCACCCTTGTGTCTTTGTTTGAGCTCATTTTAGGTCCATTTTGCTGACTAGCAGGTTCAGCTGTGATTGAATCTCAAGCTTGGAGGGCGTTGTGTACTTTCAACCTTTTTGAAACCCATCAGCTGACCACAGGTGCACTTGAGTTGGTGAGAGCTTTGGTCATTTTATCCTGAGAGCTCTCTACTGCTCAGAGAATCGACCATGTGTTATAAATTAGTACCACAAGTAGCCAGGATATGGTTGAGGTTGCTGTAAAATGACCTGCTGACTGGCAGCCTCATACTGCAGAATCATGGGACAAAGAAAAAAAACTTATAAGAAGCTACAAATCTGATGTTAAGCAAGAACAAAATAAATAAATACAAAAATACACAATTAAAGCAACTCCTTCCTTTCTTGCATTACACACAACAGTCCCATCCCCCTCCTTCTGCAACTCCACCTCACTCCAAAGGCCTACTCCCCCCTCCTCCATTACGTACTCATTACGTGGCAAGGTAACGTTAGATAAACAGAAGAGGAGAGCGAGTGTAACACGCCAAACTAAACAATAACGTTAATGACTTTAGTTGTTCTTCTATCTCAGACATGTTAGGATGTTACATACCTTGACATGTTTCGGCGGAAACTTCTGCCTTCCTCAGAAGTGTCACTTGGTGGTGGTTGTGACGCGTCTTTATCAGCTGATCTGTCAATAAGCTGATATTAAGGAGGTGTGACCTCCAGGACGCTGCTCCAGGTGTGGGAGAGCATGTATGCCCCCTCATCCCTGTTCACCGTCCCTGGGCCCTGCTTCCTTATTTCAATAGCCTCCCTGATCCAGCGCCGGTATTTGTTGTCCTCTGTGTGTATGACTTTGGCCTTGTCCCAGTCCATAACATAACATAACATGTCTGAGATAAAAGAACAACTAAAGTCATTATCAGAAACTAAAGGCATAATGAACACCATTGAACTATTAAACATAACGGTACCTGTCCTGCACAGTCATGTGAACGCTAACGTTAGATAGTACTCGTGACTGGCAACAAACAGGGAAGATAATACAGAGGCTCAGGCTACATTAGGCTACAGTAGGCTAACTGGATGCTGTGTTGTCATATTTAACGTTATAGCCTATGTTACATTAGAGGCAAACTAAAAATACCTGTCCAGCAGAAACTCTGCGACCATCTTATCCCTGTTTAGCTCAGGATGAAGCTGCAGAGTTCTCTGTTAGTGTTAGCTTTTTCTGCAAAATTGCCAAGTGATTTCCCTGTTACGCCAACGGTTACGTCAGTCAGAGGCCTCCATGTGGGGGATGCTTGGCCAATCATTGCCAATCATTGCATTCGGTCCAAATGCAATAATTGGCCGAGCGTCCAATTGGTCAGCGTCGATTGGTCAGAATTTTATACTTTTATTTTAATACTTTTTTGCACATTCTAGTACATTGTTTTCATCCATTCACTCATTAAAAAAATCTCAGTGAAAATTAATTTCAAATGTATCATTAATTAGAAAATGGTCAGCACAAATCTATTGTGGGACCAGATTTGTCCCACAGCCAAATGTGGCTCACAATAGCTGTGTATCACTCGCCTAGTTATTGATGTTGAATTTAATTTTTTAACTTTGTCTTGTTGTGCAATGTGTCAGCTAACATTAGTCAGTGAATATAAAATGATATAGCAGGGCTGCACTCTCTCGCCACACATCTGTTACATACTGCACTAAAAAACTCTGATAATGCCACAGAGGACACTGACAACACACTGACAGACAAGGCAGCAGTACAGTACAACAATGCATTCAGGTAAACCGTTGCTTGGACTTTGATGTGTGACTATTTGTGCAACATGTTCTCACTCCCAACTCATCACATTTTGCCACTTGTTCGGTGGACTTTTAACATCTACATAAAGTGTGCTAGGTATCCTGGGTGCATCTGTTGACTTTCCGGGACGTCTTGTCAATTTATTTATTAAGTCAATATTTGTTTTTACTGATATCATTGGTAAAACCTTGTATTTATGTTTATTCCCTTGTGCAAAAAACACAAATGATTAGTTTCCAGCAACAAATGCACATGGTTAGGTTTAGAAAAAAATGTCATTGTTTGGCTCAACATTCATACGGGAAGACACCGGGCTCCTGGGTGAAAGTTTGTTGGAACCATCCACTACCCATCCGCTTGCCCTGCAGGAACTTTCCAGCTGCTTAAAGGGATAGTTAAGAATTTTTTTAAGTCAGGTTATATGAGGTACTTCTCTATAAGAGAAGATAAGATATACTTTATTGATCCCCCAGGGGGGAAATTCAAGTATCACAGCAGCACATGACAAAATCAAAGGACATTAAATAGAATAAGATTAAAGAGAAAAAATAAAAAGTACAAATAAAAGATAATAATAGATAAATAAAAGATAAAATAAAAATGTTACATCAATAAAATTGCTGCATCAGATGAATAAAATGACTAAAAAATGGCAGACAAAGTGCTGAATGAAATAAAGTGACAGGTGGCAGATAAAGTCTCATATTGGACGGATGCAAGGTAAGGTGGGGTGAGGGGGTCTGTCAGCTGAAGCTGTCTATGAGCAGGGGGAAGGGGAGGGAGGCAGGTCGCTGCTGGGGAGGGGAGCAGAGTTAACAGCAGAGGTGTGAATGGGTACAGTGATGGTGGGTGGGGACTCAAGGTGCAGACACACCAAACCGACATCAAAGAACTAGCGGCGATGAAAGCCAACTGTTGCATCGTCTACATCGCCTCACGTCGCCGTGTCAGTTGCATTTGAACACACTACACGGACTATATCCGATGGCCAAGTAGCACGTACATTCTGCGCCTGGGCATGCCTCAACATGCTCAATCGGCCGAAAAGCCACCGACGCCGAAGTGCCGACATTACGGGACACACCACAAAAACTAGGTAGACAGACAGCCCGACTTTGGTCCACGGCCGGCCGTCGGCTTGGTGTGTCAGGGCCTTCAGATTTTGTTTTAGTCATTTATATGTATGGGGTGTGGGCTGGGGGAGGGTTTGGATACCAGACATTGCATGTAAATTTATTTTTGAAACAATGGGTTAATGAATAAATTAACCATAATTACATTCAACCTTAAGGGTATTAACAATCCTATAAAGCGGAAGAAGATTTTAAACTATCTCAAAACCCATAAATGTGATATTGCCTTTTACAAGAAACTCATTTAACCAACATTGAGCATGAAAAACTCAAATGTGACTGGGTTGGTAAAATACTGTATAACTCCTTTAATTCAAGATCCAGAGGTGTCACCATTCTCTTCAACAGACACCTTGAGGTGAATATACTATCATCAAATAAAGACGATCTGGGTCGGGTTATCATAGCTAAATGTGATATTAATAGAAACCCCTATACCTTAATAAGTCTATATGGGCCCAACAACAATGACCCCCAGTTCTTTAGAGAACTCTTATTGCAGGTGACTCATGCACATGGCCAATGCATAGTGGGTGGAGACTATAACTTGGTACTAGACCCACTGACTGATCACTCCACCAAGGCAAAACATCCAATCTCACCTGCAGCCTCTACCTTGAAAGGGGGCACGACAGAACTCTCCTTAGTGGATGCTTGGAGAATAAAAAAAACCCAATCAGAAAGATTATTCTTTCTACTCTAAGGTCCATGGCTCGTACTCAAGGATCGACATGTTCCTTATATCCATAACACTCTGTGCAAAAATTATAGAATGCACATATCTAGCATCAACATTATCAGACCACTGTCCCCTTAAGCTGAAGATCGAAAACAATCCCACTCGCTCCACCCTTTTTAAATGGAGGTTACAACCCCACCTCTTAAACAATCCTAACTTTAATACATACAAAAAGAAATGGAAGTGTTTTTGGAGTGCAACAGAAACTCTGCGTCACAGTACAATATGGGAATCTTTATTAGCATACATTAGAGGCATTATTATTTCTTACACAACTCAAAAAAGAAAAGAAAAAGAAGCTGCACTTAATCTACTTGAGCAGAATATACATAAGCTAGAAAAAGAACATGCACAGACTCAAAATTCTGAAATAAGTTACTTGCTAACACAAAAAAAGATTAGAATACTGTAATATGTGCACAGATAAGGCAGAGGCTGAGATAGCAAGAACCAGATATCATTATTACGAAAAGGGGGAGAAAACTGGGAAAATGCTTAGCTGGCAAATCA